TATTTTGGTTCATCCTGGGAATAAAATAACCATTAATCAAAACATCGAGGTGTTGCCATTAAGACACGAGAATTAGTTACCAGTTTGTGTTTTTTTTCGTGGGTGTGTTTGTGATGTTTTTTTGCGTTCGTTAATTAAACCGGATTTGTTTAGGATTACAGGTTGGATTTGCTTTTGGATTTATAGGATTATTTATAATTGTTTTTATTGCTGTTATTATTTTTGTTGTGGATGATGGAATTTATTATTATTATTATTATTATTATTATTATTATTATTATTATTATTATTATTACCTTCCTTGATCCATTCCAAGCCATACTTAGTAATATTTTCCTTCCAAAATACACAAAAACCTATCCACGTTATCCAACCATCCACTCACCCACCCCTCACCCCCACCCACTCACCCCACCCTCCAAGCCCACCCCTCAGCCCACCCACTCACCCCACCCACTCAGCCCACCCACTCAAGCGTCTCCTCCTCTCAGTGAAATATGTCGGCTGATTTAAGATAATTTACCTCGCCTTTGTGAATATTTTATTGGCTATCTAAATGAAAGACCTCCTTAGAATGGCAAATTGGACACGTCTCTCTCTCTCTCTCTCTCTCTCTCTCCCTCTCTCTCTCTCTCTCTCTCTCTCGTTCTTTTCGAAGTACAATGAAGAAAGAATATATTTAAATGCTTGATGAATACCGTGAGAGAGAGAGAGAGAGAGAGAGAGAGAGAGAGAGATAACTAACGCCCAATTCAACTCTCGACAACAACTCTGCATTTGTCAGCTAATTTACCAAAAAAATAATTCCTCATACAGGTATTTTATTTTCGGGGCCGGAATTAGTAATTAAAAGGTGAGGTTGGCCAGGTAGTATGTTGAGTTAATTAGGTATTTATATTATCTGTCTGTCTGTCTGTCTGTCTGTCTGTCTGTCCGTCCGTCCGTCTCTCTCTCTCTCTCTCTCTCTCTCTCTCTCTCTCTCTCTTTCTCTTTTCTCCTCTCTCTCTGCTTGTACAAATACTTATTAAATGCTGATGCTTGTCTTTCTTTCTTCCCTCCACCCATCCGTGTCTCGTTTATGTCTCCCTTTCTCCTCCTCCACACACACACACACACACACACACACACACTCTCTCTCTCTCTCTCTCTCTCTCTCTCTCTCTCTCTCACCTCGTCCAGGCGGCCAGGTGGTAGACAGACTCACACGGATATCGTTTTAAATCACCCCCTAAAAACGGCTGAAATAGTTTACCATTTTTTTTTTGTGTGCGTGAAAAATCGTACACGACTATTTCCTCTTCCCTCTCCTACCCCTCTACGTGCACGAGTCCGTTAGCCAGGGTGTCATCTGGCACTTGACACTTCACATCTCTTCCCAAAAGGTGTCATATTGTACTTGACACTTCACATCTCTTCCCAAAAGGTGTCATATGGCTGTTAAAACCCAAGAATATAACACGAAGAAGAACCAGGATTTAATTTTCGGGAACGTGTTGTCGAGAGGCGTATAGAAGTAAACAAAACAGCATTCATACTCGAGTGAATTTTAGTGTTTACATTCATACGTCCAGACATAAACATTACATAACATTTCAGGAAGTTAATCTGAGGCGTTACCTTCATCAACAAGTAAGAAAATAACTGATCAAACTGTACTGACTATATTATAAACTATTTTCAATCTTCCTGTAACTAAAATATCGAATGCCACTAAATACAAGAGCAGTGTTGAATCGTCTTGTCAGTATCTCTTAATAACTATCATCAAAATACAAGAACAGTGTTGGATCGTCTTGTCAGTATCTCTTTATAACTATCATCAAAATACCAGAACAGTGTTGGATCGTCTTGTCAGTATCTCTTTATAACTATCATCAAAATACCAGAACAGTGTTGGATCGTCTTGTCAGTATCTCTTTATAACTATCATCAAAATACCAGAACAGTGTTGGATCGTCTTGTCAGTATCTCTTTATAACTATCATCAAAATACCAGAACAGTGTTGGATCGTCTTGTCAGTATCTCTTTATAACTATCATCAAAATACCAGAACAGTGTTGGATCCACTCTCCGCCAACTATAAGACAGATCTTTACCGAGTATCGACAGTTAACAGCTATTGACAAAACATCTAACTAGTATCGGCGGCCACTTCTGAACGCTTAACGATCAATTTAACAGCAATCAGTGTCCAGTTGCTCAAAAGGAGGAATGCACTTAATCTCTGAGCTGACGGACTGGGCTCATTAAGGTAATCTCCGTGTCGCGGCTGATTACTGGAGGTTAATCGCTCAGGGAAATAGTTTTGGCGACTGGGGAAATAGTTTGTTGTCACTGGCTTCTATAGAACAGGTAAAGTAGTGTAATTAGGGAGATAGATAGATAGATAGATAGATAGATAGATATAGATGAATAGATAGATAGAGAGAGAGAGAGAGAGAGAGAGAGAGAGAGAGAGAGAGAGAACGCTGTTTCTCGTTATATCACATCAAAACAACACTGTATAACACACACACACACACACACACACACACACACACACACACACATACACTCAATACAGTATATGCAAATAAATACACATTATACACCCAATAAGCTTTCCTTTACCTACACGACCCTGAAATAGATGATGTGATGTGATGTGATGTGATGTGATGTGATGTGATGTGATGTGATGTGATGTGATGTGATGTGATGTGTCAAAGAGGATATAATTACGAGTATTATATCATTATTCTAAAAAACCCCGTTTATTATAAGACTTTTCTATGACTACACACACACACACACACACACACACACACACACACACACACACACACACACACACACAAACAATCATCAGAACAATATACCCCAACACACACACACATCAGCCCTCCTTCCCAGACAAACAGAGATAAACAGCCCCCACACACACACACACAGGCACTGGATGTAGTATGTAGAGTGTGGAAGGCTACTGTACCACCACCCTCCTGCACACTCACTCACACACGACGTTTACACCGCCATAACCCCCTGCCACCTACACCAGGAGAGAGAGAGAGAGAGAGAGAGAGAGAGAGAGAGAGAGAGAGACTTATAATAACCTTCATCACTGGATTATAATGAAAACTCTAGAGAGAGAGAGAGAGCGAGAGAGAGAGAGAGTTTTAGTGTCTCCCAGGTGTGTGTATGTCACGGGCACCTCACCTGTTGGTCGTCTGTCTTGGGTAGCGGGACAACATCCTGTCACCTTTGAGGCATCACTATACCTTTCCTCTATCTATCTATCTATCTATCTATCTATCTATCTATCTATCTATCCATCTAATTATCTTTCTATCTATCTCTTCCTGTCTGACTTCTTTAACTCTCTCTCTCTCTCTCTCTCAGGATCGCTGGCAACATAAAATATGTCTCTCAAGTACCAGGAAATTGTTGGGTGGATTCTGTTCAAACTTCTCCTCAATTTTATCTACCTACTGCGGTGTACCTGAATAAGAGAGAGAGAGAGAGAAGAAGAAATGTCTTTGCCTAGTTAGTTAAATGTATAAATGTCTTCTCCTCCTTCCCACACTCTCATTTCTCTCTGACTCTCACACACTTCCTTCCCTCTCCCTTCCTCCTTATCCCTCTTACTTCTTATCTCTCTCTCTCACTTCCCTCTCCCTTCCCTCTCCTTCCCTCTCCCTCCTTCTCCCTTCCCTCTCACTTCCCTCTCCCTCCCTCTCACTTCCCTCTCCCTCCCTCTCACTTCCCTCTCCCTCCCTCTCCCTCCACTTTAAGTTCAGCAACATGGTGACTTGTGCTCTAACAAGTAGTGACAATCGGTACAAGTTTAACACTGTCTCTGGAGGGAGGAGGGCTTTAAAGAGAGGGAGGGAGGAGGAAGGAGGAGGGAGGAAGGGAGGAGGAGGGGGGGAGGAAGGGAGGGGGGAGGGAGGGAAGAGTTCAAGAGGAAGGGATAGAAGACGGGATGGAGGAAGAGCAGGAGGAGAAGAGAGGAAATGAGGGTAAAGAGGGAGAAAGGGAAGGAGTGTTGGAGGGTGTTAGGAATGAGGGAAGGAGATAAAGATGGAACTCGGAGAGAAGGAGAGGAACAGAAATAAAGGAAGACTGGAAAATAACATCGCTGACTCCGTAATTTTAGATGAAGGAAAATTGCTGTAATTTACTGCAACACCATCCAGCACTATCCATGCTTCAGGAATAGGAGCTTAAGGAATAGATGCTAACCTAACCTAAGAAAACCTCACCTAATCCTAACCAAACCTAACCAAACCTGACCTAATCCTAACCAAACCTAACCAAACCTAACCTAACCTAACCAAGCCTAACCTAACCAAACCTAACCTAACTTAACCTAACCTAATCCCTGTGTGTTGTAGGAGGTGACTAGGAAGGTTAAGATACAGGTGAAGGATAAGAACTCTAAATACAACATCCCCTAGTCTGCGTCTGCCTCTGCGTCTGCCTCTGCGTCTGCGTCAGGTCAAAACTCTGATTCAAGTAGTACCGAGTCTAATACTTGCCTTAAGAAATAATACTTGGTGGTATGTTTGCCAGACTCTCTTAAGTATTATGACAAATTTACTACAAACAGGTGAGTCTTACCTGTCTATCCGAGGACTGATGGCAGGTGCTCTACGGTGATGACGGGGACAGGTGGAACATTCTCTCTGCTGACGACCTGTGATGAAACACGAAGATTATACCAACGACAATATTCACCCCAGATAATTTAGGCTGCTATAAGATAATAATAATAATAATAATAATAATTCATGGTGCTACTGTAGAATTATCATAGTAATAAGAGTATTCCCATTTCTGATAATTTATTCAGCTGCTGTGCGATTATTACAGCAACAATAATATACAATAATATTCTCTCTTCTAATAATTTCAGCTTTTTTTTTTTTGCATTTATTACAAAAACTTTCACAATTTTGTTTACATATTAAAAAAAAATACCAATTATCATTCCCGTTCTCACTGACTCTTCCCCCAGTGAGCGCGGCGGGAGGGTTTGCTCCCAGCATCGACGCCCCCATCGCCACCACGGAGCCGCCGCCCACCACCGCCCTCAACGCCGCCCTTCAGCCCACCTTCCTGGGCCGCCACAACGCCACCGTCAACGTCCACGCCGGAGACACCGCTGCCCTCAACTGTCATGTTCTGAGGCTGGGTGACAAGACGGTGAGTGTTACCACGCCCACGCTGCCACGCCCACACCCACAACTACGGCCATACTGTTACGCCCACACCCAGCCAAACAACACACAAAGACACACACACACACACACACACGCTTATCTGGCGTACAGATAAACATATACCCCCCCACCAACACACACACACACACACACACACACACACACACACACACACACACAATCACCATATATCTCTAACCAGTTAAAAAAAAATAGGCTCTATCGAAAAACACACACACACACACAGCCTGGGTTTTTGTTTTTGTTTCCATTCATATGTTTTACTTTGTTTTTAGAGAGAGAGAGAGAGAGAGAGGAGAGAGGGAGAGAGCCCAACCAGCCAATAGGAATTCCTGTCCCGTTTTTTTAACCTCTTATGTTTTGCACACCAGAAATGTTCTCCCACTAACGAGTATAAGCGCCCGTATATATTAAACCTAACCTAACCAAACCTTAAGGGCTAATATCGCCTGTAACTGCTTCAGACTCTCACCATTAGCGTGACAGGAGACTACTCGCTAATGTTATCAAACTACTTATTCATGTGGGTTTTTATGTGTGTGTGTGTGTGTGTGTGTGTGTGTGTGTGTGTGTGTGTGTGTGTGTGTGAAGATGGAAATAATCATAATATCCATATGATTACTATTCTTATATGCTTCTACCATTCTTATATTCTTACTACTATTATTACTACTACTACTACTACTTCTACTAACTACTTAATAATAATACAATAACAACAATACCAACATAAATACACACACATACATACATACATACATACATACACCAATTCATATCATACATACATACATACATATACATATACATCCATACATACATCCATATACATATACATACATACATATACATAGAATACGTCAAGTAAATCACATTACATTAAAGTTAGTGAATAAGAGTCTACGTTTTAATCAATAGTTATTAATTAAACGAAAACATTAAAAAGAATTTTTTATTTAGACACAAAAATATATACAAACATACAATGCCTTTGATCCTAAGCCCACACATATCTGTATTCTCTGTCATATACTTTAACTATGAGAAGTATTCCTCCTCAAATAAATATTCCTCCCTTAAATAAATATTCTCCCTAAATAAATATTTCCCTAAATAAATATTCATCTCAAATAAATATTCCTCCCTAAAATAAATATTCTCCCTAAATAAATATTCTCCTAAATAAATATTCCTCCCTTAAATAAATATTCCTCCCTTAAATAAATATTCCCCCTTAAATAAATATTCCTCCCTTAAAAAATATTCCTCCCTAAATAAATAAATATTCATCCTTAAATAAGTATTCCTCCCTTAAATAAATATACCTCCTTGATGAGTTTTGGTAGTACTTTTGTGATTATTGTGAGATATGTAGTAGTAATAGTAATAGCAATCGTATAGTAGTACTAGCAGAAATAGTAATAGCAGTAATAGCAATAGTACTATCAGCAATACCTCAACCTGGATCTAATACTCTCATTGTTTCCGGGTTACACTTCCAAGAACACACACTTATTACCTGGCGGGTAGCAGACAAACAGGAGGCAAGTTGAGAACAAGAGGAAGTACAACAACACTGATAAATGGTCATTACCTTTGAAATACCTGGTTCGTAATTATTCTCCTGTAGTGAGAGGGAGAGGGTGAGGGAGAAGAGGAGGATGGAAAGAGGAGAGAGGAAGAAGAGGAGAGAATGGGAAAAGGTGATGGAAAGAGGGAGAGGAGGAAGAAGAGGAGAGAATGGGAAGAGGTGATGGAGAGAGAGGAGAGGAGGAAGAGGAGAGAATGGGAAGAGGTGAGAAAAGAGGGAGAGGAGGAGAAAAGGAGAAAAAAATGGGAGAATGGTTGATGGGGTAGTGGTGGTGAAAGATGGATTGAGGGGAAGGGAGGGGATGGGGAGGAATGGGGTGGAATAGAAGGAAAGAAGAGAAGGAAGGAGAAGAAAAAAAGGTCAGGGGAGGAAAGAGAAGGAGGGAAGGAAGTAGGATAACAGGTGTCCTTTATTCTTTGTCTCTCACTATTTATCTCTTTCTCTGTCTGTCTGTCTCTTCTACTCTTCCTTGTTAATTTCTCTTCACCTCACACCATTCTCTTATTCCCTCTCATACCCCTCTCATTTCTCACCTACCCCTCTCATTTCTCTCTCACCCTATTATTATTCTCCCCTCTCCTCCTATTTTACTTGTGACTCACCAGCCTACAATACTCTCTCTCCCCCCCCTCACCCCTTCTGTCTCCCTCTCTCTCTTACTCTCTCACTAAAAGTCTTCCTCCCCCCTCTCTTCCCTCGTTTTCATCTATTCTCTCATCCCCTTCCTTTATTTATTCTCCATCTCCACTTCCTTTATGTCTCCTGTTCCCCTCTTACCTCCCCTGTCCCATGACATCTCTCCCCTCTTTCTCTCCCTCCCTCTTCTGCTCTCATCTCTCCTCCATTCTCCCTCACCCTCACACAAACCTCTCTCCTCCTCTCTCTCTCCCTGTCTTCTTCCTTCTTCCTTTCCCCTTCCCTTCAAACGCCAAGGGAGGGAACAAAGGGTGAGGGAGGGAACAAAGGGAGGAGGGAGGTAACAAAGGGTGAGGGAGGCAACAAAGGCAGAGGAGGGAACAACAAAGGTGAGGAGGTAACAAGGGGTGAGGGAGAGGAACAAAGGGGAGTGGAGGGAGGGAAAAAAGGGGCAGGGAGGGAACAAAGGTGAGGGAGGAACAAAGGTAGAGGGAGGGAACAAAGGCAAGAGGAGGCACAAGGTGAGGGGAGGGAACAAAGGGTAAGAAGGTAACAAGCAAGAGAGGGAGAACAAAGGTGAGGGGAGGGAACAAGGGAGAGAGAGGGAACAAAGAAGAGGAAGGAGTAAATAAAGAAGTAAGAAGTTTGGTGTGAAAATGTTCACTTTGGCATGACACCAACAAAAACTCATTATAATCATCAGAAAATGTCATCTAATATCGTTGAAACTTAATATTCTCTACAAAAACTTTGGGGTAAAATAGTAACTTTGGCTACATTTCACAAAAAACATTACATAATCAACAAATGGCTACATACCAACAAAACATATTGCCACATATCAACAAAAAATACTATGGCGTAGCTGAATGGACTGATCAGCTAGGAAAACATATATTGGCAGTATATGTTTAAGACACTGGAGGAGGCTAGATTTAATTAAAATAACACCTAATATTTCACCTTCACCCCCACGATTCTTATGTATCCTCACCAAACTTAATGGCGCACCCTGAGCCACTCACAGAAGCTGTATAAGTCAATATGTTGCAGTGTGGTCAATATTTAAAAAACAGTAGCCTTCTTTTTTTTTAAGGTTAATTTTAGCGTCATTATTCCTGCTTCATTAGAGTAGTTCCCTAAAATTTAAAGGTATGTTCAGGAGGTATATTCAAATGCCCAAAATATAAAAAAAACTTAATGGTCTTTAAAAGTATATAATTGAACTGTCTAAAAATTTAAGGTAAAGTTATTTTATCTAATATTTTAAGGATAATTACAATAACGTAACAAAATTATTATTACAATTACCTAAAATTTTAAGAGTAATTATCTTACCTAAAATTTGTGTCGTGAATTAATGGACCGATTTTCCAGGTATTACTCAAAGGGTTCATTTAGTGTCCTCATAATTTTCTACAGAGCCCAAGCCATTTAGGTCGACATATTTACTGTATTCTGTACATTTAGATAAAGTAAAGCTTTTTGTTCATTTATTCATATACAAGAGAAAGAAAAGAATTACAGGTGTGAAGTGCAATTACAGGTGTAGGTAAATATACAAGTACAGTTAGGTATAGAGTTAAAATGACTCGGTGTAAGTACAGGTACAAATACAGCTATAGGTACAGTAACAATTGCCATTGGAGGAGGTTACAGGTCCAGTTACAATTACAGGAACAAATACAGATACAAAACACACACAAACATAGGAACAAGTACAGATACAAGAACAAACACAGGAACAAATAGATACAGAAATAAACAAGCACAGGAACAATTACAGATACAAGAACAAACACACAAACACAGGAACAAATATAGTGAATAATTAATAATGAAGAAACACCTGTTAATGTAGCTAAGGGAGTCTCAGGTGCTCTAAATTATTCAGGTAGTGTCTAAGAAAGGTGAGGTGGTGAATTAAACAGTAGGTGTACACTATGATACTGAATTACAGAATGTCATATTGTTACTGTCAGTGTATGATTGGTTGTGGTTTTGATGATGATGATGATGATGATGATGATGATGACGATGATGATGATGATGATGATGATAGTAGATTGTGACGCACGCTATTATTATTTAATATTATTGTCGTTGTTAATATTAGATATTATTATTATTATTATTACATTCTACTACTACTACTACTACTACTACTACTACTACTACTACTACTACACACACACACACACACACGCACTAATAACACGCGTACACGGAGGTCATTAAATCGATAGGCACCCGCTGTGTGAGTGTTAGCGTATCTAGAGATGCAATTAAGTATGGAATGTGAGAGAGAGAGAGAGAGAGAGAGAGAGAGAGAGAGAGAGAGAGAGAGTATATAGATGAATAAAAAGAATGAAGGAGATTATTTTTTATGAACGTGAAGATAAGGAGAAATAAGTACGTGAAGATAGGAGAAAATGCACGTGAAGGTAGGGCAAATATACCTAACCTAACCTAACCAAACCTATCTCAATACTTCTATATATTTGATAGTATTATAAGTCAATAAACTGATATAGCAACTACGTCACACCAATACCAACTATGTCACACCATTACCAACTACGTCACACCATTACCAACTACGTCACACCATTACCAACTACGTCACACCGTACCAACTACGTCACACCATTACCAACTACGTCACACCATTACCACTACGTCACACCATTACCAACTACGTCACACCATTACCAACTACGTCACACCATTACCAACTCACGCAATAACACCAATACCAACTACGTCACACCATTACCAACTACGCCACACCATTACCAACTACGTCACACCATTACCAACTACGTCACACCATTACCAACTACGTCACACCATTACCAACTACGTCACACCATTACCAACTACGTCACACCATTACCAACTACGTCACGCTTGTTGGATACGAAGATAGGTGGATAGTCAGCTTGCTGGATAGATTGATAGTCAACTTGAATAGTAAGACGGATGAATAGTAAGCTCGCTAGTCGTCACGCTCCATTAGACAACTAGCCAGCCGTATAGCTCTTGAGTACAATGAATGAGTCCGATAAATATAATAAAGTTTCGAGTACGATAATCAAATCATTGTACTCAAGGTGTTATGATTGTAATTGAGGTTAAGTTATCATACTCAAGAGTGGGCTATGACATTGTACTTAAGAGGTTAAATTATCGTACTCAAGATATTAACTATCGTACAAAAGGTTGGTTATTTACTCAAGAGATTAAGTTAACGTACTCAAGAGGTTACGTTAATGCCAAAGGGTTAATACCGTACCAAGATATTAAGTTATCGTACTCAAGAGGTTAAGTTATCTCAAGATATTAAGTTATCGTACTCAAGAGATTAAAATCATTGTACACAAAGGTTAAATAATATCCCACTGTCGTCCCACATAACTTATTAAAAACTCACTAATCAATAACAAGGTAACAGCCAAATGTTAACAAATGCCAGAACATAACATAACATCAACACATAATATACACATAACATGATAACATAACACAACACAGAACATAGCACATAACAGAGCATAACATAACGTGTAATGACAGACGATTAACGTGCTTTAGCAGCAGCGGGGTGTTGGGGGAGGGGAAGGAAGGTTTGAGGAGGAGGGGGTGAAAGAGAAGGGGTGAGAAGGTGGAAGGGGGAAGGAAGTAGAGGTTTAGAAAGAGGGGGGGATGAGAGAGAGGAGGGGAGAGAGAAAGGGTGTGAATACAGTTACTTAACAAGGTGGTTTAAATTGCTTCACTATTATAGACGTCGTTAATGAACCACTGTAATTGCCACTCCTCAATTATTACAGGACTAACTACAGACTCCCCCGTGTGTAACTTGACTGTATGTGTGTTTGTAACGTCATGATATAACATAATGATGGTGATTAGTGAATGATATTAGTATGTTTAAGCCTTGAGGTGTATGATAACAGTTCCAGCTATAAATTATATAGAATAGATATATAATGAGACTATTCCTACTACTACAGTATATAGTTTTATATAAAGTGTGGTTGTGTTGTAAGTGACCATCTGTGAATGTGTTAAATGCGCCTTTTATTTTTTTTTTTTAGATAATTTACTCGGCGAATTTCAGCTCATTAAACTAATACTCGCGCCAATTTATACTCGCTTAATCATAATACACAACACACAAAAAATTGCCAAATATCACCACAAGTCGCCAAATCTTAACACAGTACGCCAACACTCGCCAAATGTTACCACAAGTCGCCAAATCTTCACACACTCGCCAATTTGGGCAGGTGAGTATTACAAAGTGCTAAGTTGAGAATTGGCGTGACTTACAGGCATCCAGTACGGTCGTAAATCTGGTCGTATCAAGGAAGATTATCGACCGTGAGTCATTGTGTGGACAGGATCACTCTCTCTCTCTCTCTCTCTCTCTCTCTCTCTCTCTCTCTCTCTCTCTTAGACCAAATCACCTTCACATACAAACACCTGAAGGGGGTACCTGAGTGGGGGGGGGCAAGTGGAAGCAATGGGGGGCTGTAGGGTCTGGAGGGGGGTCTGGAGGGGGGGGTCTTAATGGCTAAATAGTGATGATGAATTAGTTGTATTACATTACCTGATATTAAAACCTATCTATCTATCTATCTATCTATCTATCTATCTATCTCTATCTATCTATCTATCTATCTCTATCTATCTATCTCGGCCTAAACTCAAACCAGCGACCTTTAGGACACGTAATGAACTCTCTATATACTACGCCACCGTACCACTTTTATACTGTTTATACAGCGGCTGAATTAAAACAGTTTTTTTTGTTTTAATTCCTACGATTAAATTAATATTCAGAGTCATTATTATTATTAAAAAAGTATTGTGATAAATTGGCTCTTTATTTATGCTACTGATTATTATTTTTATTTTTTTTATGTTTTATGTTTTTTGTGTAATAATTATTATATATTATTGAGAAAATAAACCAGAAGTCAAAGAGATGGTTTGGTTTGGTTAGGTTTGGTTTGGTTTGGTTAGGTTAGGTTAGGTTAGGTTAGGTTTGGTTTTCTCTTAATTAATGTTACCTTCACACCTGTTTTCTCTTAATTAGTGTTACCTTCACACCTGTTTTCTCTTAATTGGTATTTCCCTCAACCTATTTCTCCCGATTAACAGGTGACGTGGGCGAGGCGTCGAGGAATGGAAGAGTTTCACATCCTCACTATTGGATTCCAAACTTACCATAATGATCACAGGTAAGTACAGGAGGGGGGGGGGTTACCACACTTGTTAAGAGACAATTATCCAGTTCCACACCTGCTAGACTAAGGATGAGTGGCTTCCACACCTGTATGGAGATGAATGAGAGGCTTCCACACCTGTATGGAGATGAATGAGAGGCTTCCACACCTGTATGGAGATGAATGAGAGGCTTCCACACCTGTATAGAGATGAATGAGAGGCTTCCACACCTGTATAGAGATGAATGAGAGGCTTCCACACCTGTATAGAGACAAATAAGTCACTTCTAAACCAATTTACATATATAATTACCTTAACAAACCTTCATATCGTACTAATAAACATCTTCAAAAAATTCCCTCACTCAATTTGTCTTCATATTTAAGTATCGATTAATTCCAAATAATTTATCTGATATAATTTGGCTTCGTATAACACACAATAACTTCTAATAATTTCCCGGACATTAATGGGTTTCAGATCATTGTATTTCATATCTTAAAAAAAAAAAAAAATCCCAATTAAATAAAAAACAATAATAATTTGCCTACCACACTTGGCCTTCGTATCTTAGCATTTAATAATTTAATATCATTTTCCTTGACATGTGTATGGAGCATCGCATTGTTTGTTGACATTCATAGAAAATCTAGTTTGAGGACTTCTACGAACGCATTAGCAGATAAATAATTCAAGAACGGAGTGGATTGATGTGTAGCTATATTTAATAAAAGGTTTTCAATCATGTAGAGTGTACGTCAAAATGTCTTCTAAATTTTACACTCCTTGAGTTTAAGAATAAATGTTTAAAACTTGGGGAGATAGAGTTAGTCTATATGGGGAGGAGAGGGGGAGGGAGAAAGGAGGGAGGGGTGAAGGAGGGAGGGTGAAGGAGGGGGAGGGGTGAAGGGGGGAGGGAGGTGAAGGAGGAGAATTGAAGGAGGGAGGGTGAAGGAGGGAGGGGGTGAAGGAGGGAGGGGTGAAAGAGGAGGGAGTGGGGAAGGATGGAGGGAAGGAGAAGGAGGGGGGAGTAGAGAAGGGGAGAGAGGCAGGAAGAGAAGAAAAGGTGGATGAAGTAAAGAAAGGGAGAATGGGAGGGGAGAAGGAGAGAAGAGAGGAAGGGATAAGAGAAGGTAGGGAATGGAGAAGGAGGGGAAGGGAAGGAGAGAAGAGAAGAAAATAGTTAATTCGTTAGTTTGTTAGATAGTTAGTTGGTTGAGTTAGTTAGTTTGTTAGTTAGATAGTTAGATAGTTAGTTAAGTCACTGACAGATCTATTAACACGACACGGTGGCAAGGCGGAAATTTCCCCGACTTGTAAACAAATCTACGCTCTGTCGATGCCAAGGTTGTCCCCCGGGGTAACAAATGAACATCATAGTGGGAGGAGGGTAGCCGAAGGTCAGGTCAGGTCAGGTCATTAGAATAACCTACATACCTATTGACCTATTTATATAAGCCTACTCCAACTGAACCCGGCTCTATGAATGCTTATCCTGACTTATTGATTGACTGACTAAGTGACTAATTTTGCCTGACTTGACTGACTTACTGAAAGACTAACTGACTGACTGACTGACTTAAAAACTAATTGACTCATATACTAACAAGAATAAACCGAATAACTAATAATAATAATAATAATAATAATAATAATAATAATAATAATAATGTAATCCAAGAAAAAATCCGGTTAATAATCTGAGTTTAGGATTTTTTTCGATTTATTGTAATCTATTAATATTAATCTCTTGTGTGGTGTATTAACCTTCATTAATCCTCAGTGTAATCTTAATCGCTATCGTGTAATCCCCTCGTGGTAATCGCTGTTAATCGTCATGAATTTCAAATTATTTTTCTTACAGATTCAGTCATTCAAACCATAGATAGATAGACAGACAGACAGATAGACAGACAGACAGACAGACAGACAGACAGACAGACAGACAGACAGACAGACAGATAGATAGATAAGTACTGATCTACCTGCAGTAATTGCCACACAGCAAATATACTCTGCCTGTGTACACAGCCTCCGTCCTCCCTAACTTCTTCTTCTAACCTAGCTCTCTTTGTGTCTCATTTTCTCTCTCTACCTGTCTCTCTCTCTCTCTCGCCCTCTCTCTCAGGTGATCAATAGGCAACCTTACACTCAATTAACTACGAATAATTAACAATACCTGTGTTACCTGGACGATTCAGAGGCGCCACAACACTTAACACACCCACACGAACACACACACACGAACACACACACGAACACACACACGAACACACACGAACACACACACACGAACACACACACACGAACACACACACGAACACAGACGTTTAATTTACGAGTTCCATAATAAGACTTCTAAACTCTCTACATACACTTTTATACACTACAAATACTCTCCATACACTTATATTTAAAGTATATTATGAACTTGAAGTCAATTAAACTTTCTTAGATGTTTTAAGGTAATTTTATTTTTGTCTCACGAAATTTTTGTATCAAGCTGATTGGCTAAGTTCTTCGTGACGTCATCGTTTCGTGACGTCATCGTTTCATGGCGTCCGTTGGCGAGTTTTATGATAATTGGTTGGGAATTTTCATCCATTTATTTGTTGGTAGAAGCCATCAAGGTCTGGTCAGGTTACATTAGGTTAGATTAAGTTGTCGTTCTTCCCATCTAACGACAAGTCATAAGAGAAAAAAATCCCCTTCGACACGCAGCTACGAGACGTCTTCCCCGCCCATAATGTTGACTCGTCGTGTAATCAACCAATAAAATCTTTATAAGGTTATGACGTATCACAATGACGTCATTTTGCTGACCAATTACAATGCTTCTTATTAGTTACATCATTCATTGAGGTTTCGTGAGTTAACAAATTAGGGTGTTTATTGGCCAAAGCGTCGTGTTGATACCCAATTAGAGCGTTGGCTTCTTTAATGACGTCGTACAATGAGATTATGCGAACCAACCAATCAGGGGGATTGTTGATAAAGATGTCATAACATAAATTGACGAATCCATGTTTGAGCGTTATAAAACAGCTAATTGGACAGGTTCATTAGTTCATACAATATTTAAAGTGTTAAGTAATGGTGTTCCTAAGTGATGCATATGACTTTGAATAATAAAACAAAACACAGCAGATTTGGGGTCCCTAGTTTGTTCTCAAATCAAACGGTATAATAAATGTTGCCTAACGTCAAGATTTGGTGGATATCTATTGTTTTGTTTTTTTGTGTGTGTGGGGGGAGGGGGGAGGAGGGGGCATAATTGTCACGGAAAAATCGAATCACTCAGAATAAATTCTTTTTTTGATTATCAAAATTGAAAATTATTTCTCTTAAATAAACTTACGCCCTCTTTGTTTACTAATGCCAAACAATCAGTCATAATACCTGCTACTATGAACTAACTGTACACACTGTGCTCTACATTAATTAAAAAAATAATAACAAAAGAACCAAAAATGCTAAACAAAATCTCACTCTATTATTAACGCAAATAAAACATTATTATATGGCTTAATAATATTTCAAGAGCTATATATGCCTTTTATATACCCAGGTTGAGTTAAATACAAACGCTTCAGTTGTTGACGTGATATATCTTCTTTAGTATTCCTCAGGACGTATTAATATATTATAAGATCAGGCTAAGTTATATTAGTGATCAGTTAATCAACATCAGACCTTCATAATTTATACCCACAGTAAACAATATTTTTACACACACCTTCCCTTTGTTGACGCCATATTGTCTGCGTTCTAGCGGTCTACTGTCGCCTGCATTGTCACCTCTCGCCATGCCTTTTGCTTCTTGCTCGTCACCTTTTCTTTCCTCCAACAGTGACATTAAGAAGGACCGCAGCTTTGTTGAGTCTTATTATGTCTTATTATGGCCACTGTACTCTACCAACATCGAAATTTAAACAAGCGAGGCTACGGCGTACCAACCGTTACGTCAGCACTGAGTCAGAGCTACCAACCTCACCCTTTCCCTTATGTGTTTTATACCTGGTCGATAAGAACTGTGGGTTTGTCTGTATCTTTAATGGTGTGTAAAGTGAGGGATCCAAATTAAATTGAAGCACACGGCCGCTACTTTGTATGTGGTGAAGTGGTGGTGGTTGAGGGTAGCGTATTGTCTCAACGGTTGTCACCCCTGCTCGACCCGTTTTCCCTTTCCCATATAAATACATCTCAAAAGCAAATTGAGTTAGTTAATTCTCTACTATGGAAATACACTGTTACTTCATTAGTGAAATACAACAAAAATACTATATCCTATGTTCGGTATCCCTTGGCAATAATGTACTACACTAATACTGTCTAGAGCCGCAGCGAAATCATTAATTACAAAGATGTTTTTACCCACGTTGTTTTTGTTGTTCCTGAATATACTTAACAGAGCTCAAACCTATTCATGTGATCATTGTGACTTTGTATGTATGTATGTATGTATGTATGTATCGAAGTAGAGAGAGAGAGACCACCAAGCCCTTACAAGTTTGTTTGGATGTAAAGAAACAACAAACAAAATTCCTCCCATGACAACATGTTATTAAATTATAACTTTGTCACACGAAGGAAAAAAAATGATAACTGCAAAATAATCGTTTTTTTTTCTTCTTCATCTTTATTCTAAGTTTCCTTCTCTCGTTCACTCACAGAAAAAAATATATTCGTGTTTTGGAATAATTTTAATTTACAGAAAAACGCTTGAATTGGCAACTGTGATGGTTGTGTTTCGTGTGTGTGTGTGTGTGTGTGTGTGTGTGTGTGTGTGTGTGTGTGTGTGTGTGTGTGTAAATCAACACAGAATCGTCATCACCAACTCAACACAGACAACCTTCCGTTCCCATTCCCAGGACAGATTACACCTGCATGACCTCTGACCTCTCTTTGACCCCCTGGCGTGAACCTTCAGACTCAAGACCACAGACTAAAGCCACAGAATTACAATGAGATACAGTGGCGGTACAGTGGCGGTACAGTGGCAAGGGGACGATGA